TCTGCTCTGACCTTTATGCTTTCTTTCCTTCTACTAACTTTGGGTTGTTTCTTCTTCTTTCTCTGTTTCCTTTAGGTGTAAGGTTAGATTGTTTATTTGAGATTTTTCTTGTTTCTTGAGATAGGATTGTATTGCTATAAACTTCTCTCTTAGAACTGCTTTTAATGCATCCCATAGGTTTTGGATCGTTGTGTTTTCACTGTCATTTGTCTCTAGGTATTTTTTTATTTACTCTTTGATTTCTTCAGTGATCTCTTGGTTATTTAGTAATGTATTGTTTAGCCTCCATGTGTTTGTGGTTTTTACATTTTTTTCCCTGTAATTTATTTCTAATCTCATAGCGCTGTGGTCAGAAAAGAAGCTTGATATGATTTCAGTTTTCTTAAATTTACCAAGGCTTGATTTGTGACCCAAGATGTGATCTGTCCTGGAGAATGTTCCATGTGCACTTGAGAAGAAAGTGTAATCTGCTGTTTTTGGATGGAGTGTCCTATACATATCAATTAAATCTATCTGGTCTGTTGTGTCATTTAAAGTTTGTGTTTCCTTATTAATTTTCAGTCTGGATGATCTGTCCATTGGTGTAAGTGAAGTGTTAAAGTCCCCCGCTCTTATTGTGTTACTGTCCATTTCCTCTTTTACAGCTGTTAGCATTTGCCTTATGTATTGAGGTGCTCCTGTGTTAGGTGCATATATAAGTGTTATGTCTTCTTCTTGGATTGATCCCTTGATCATTATGTAGTGTCCTTCCTTGACTCTTGTAACATTCTTTATTTTAAAGCCTATTTTATCTGATATGAGTATTGCTATTCCAGCTTTCTTTCGATTTCTATTTGCATGGAATATCTTTTTCCATCCCCTCACTTTCAGTGTGTATGTGTCCCTAGGTCTGAAGTGGATCTCTTCTAAACAACATATATATATATATGGGTCTTGTTTTTGTATCCATTCAGCGAGCCTGTGTCTTTTGGTTGGAGCATTTAACCCATTCACATTTAAGGTAATTATCAATATGTATGTTCCTGTTACCATTTTCTTAATTGTTATGGGTTTGTTTTTGTAGGTCCTTTTCTTCTCTTGTACTTCCCACTTAGAGAAATTCCTTTAGCATTTGTTGTAGAGCTGGTTTGGTAGTTCTGAATTCTCTTAGCTTTTGCTTTTCTGTAATGTTTTTGATTTCTCCATTGAATCTGAAAGAGGTCCTTGCCAGGTAGAGTAATCTTGGTTGTAGGTTCTTCCCTTTCATCACTTTAAATATATCATGCCACTCCCTTCTGGCTTGTAGAGTTTCTGCTGAGAAATCAGCTGTTAACCTTATGCGAGTTCCCTTGTATGTTATTTGTCTTTTTTCCCTTGTTGCTTTTAATAATTTTCTTTCTGTTTAATATTTGTCAATTTGATTACTATGTTTCTTGGGGTGTTTCTCCTTGGGTTTATCCTGCCTGGGATTCTCTGTGATTCCTGGACTTGGGTGGCTATTTCCTTTCCTACGTTAGGGAAGTTTTTGACTATTCAAAAATTTCCCTGGGTCCTTTTTCTCTCTCTTCTCCTCCTGGGACCCCTATAATGCAAATGTTGTTGTGTTTAATGTTGTCCCAGAGGTCTCTTAGACTGATTTCTTTTCACTTTTTTTTCTTTACTCTGATCTGTGGCAGTGAATTCCACTATTCTGTCTTCCAGGTCACTTATGCGTTCTTCTGTCTCAGTTTTTCTGCTATTGATTCCTTCTAGTGTATTTTTCATTTCAGTTATTGTATTGTTCATCTCTGTTTGTTTGTTCTTTAATTCTTCTAGGTGTTTTTCCTTTAATTCTTCTAGGTCTCTGTTATACATTTCTTGCATCTTCTCGATCTATGCCTCCATTCTGTTTCTGAGGTCCTGGATCATCTTCACTATCATTATTCTGAATTCTTTTGCTGGAAGGTTGCCTATCTCCACTTCATTTAGTTGTTTTTCTGACGTTTTATCGTGTTCCATCATTTTGTACATAGTCCTCTGCCTTTTCATTTTGTCTGTCTTTCTGTGACTGTGGTTTTCCTTCCACAGGCTGCAGGATTGTAATTTTTCTTGCTTCTGCTCTCTGACCTCTGGTGGATGAGGCTATCTACGAGGCTTGTGCAAGCTTCCTGATGAGAGGGACTGGTGGTGGGTAGAGCTGGGTGTTGCTCTGGTGGGCAGAGCTCAGTAAAAGTTTAATCTGCTTGTTTGATGATGGGTGGGGCTGAGTTCCCTCCCTGTTGGTTGTTTGGCCTGAGGCGACCCAGCACTGGAGGCTACAGGCTCTTTGGTGGGGCTAATGGCAGACTCTGGGAGGGCTCATGGAGTAGTTCCCAGAGCTTCTGCTGCCAGTGTCCTTGTCCCCGCAGTGAGCCACAGCCACCTCCCGCCTCTGCAGGAGACCTTCCAACACTAGCTGGTAGGTCTGGTTCAGTCTCCAGTGGGGTCACTGCTCCTTCCCCCTAGGTCCTGATGCACACACTACTTTGTGTGTGCCCCCCAAGAGTGGAGTCTCTGTTTTCCCCAGTCCTGTTGAAGTCCTGCAATCAAATCCCGCTAGCCTTCAAAGTCTGATTCTCTGGGAATTCCTCCTCCTGTTGCCAGACCCCCAGGTTGGGAAGCCTGACGTGGAGCTCAGAACCTTCACTCCAGTGGGTGGACTTCTGTGTTATAACTGTTCTCCAGTTTGTGAGTCAGCCACCCAGCAGTTAATGGGATTTGATTGTATTGTGATTGCGCCCCTCCTGCCATCTCACTGCAGCTTCCTCTTTGACTCTGGATGTGGGGTATCATTTTTGGTGAGTTTCAGTGTCTTCCTGTCCATGACTGTTCAACAGTTAGTTCTGATTCCTTTGCTCTCACAAGAGGGAGTGAGCACATGTCCTTCTACTCTGCCATCTTGAACCAATTTTCTAGTCCTTAATTTTATTATTTATTTATTTTTTGGCTGCATTGGGTCTTCGTTGCTGTGTGCAGGCTTTCTCTAGTTGTGGTAAGGAGGGGCTACTCTTCATTGCGGTGCACGGGCTTCTCATTGTGGTGGCTTCTCTTTGTTGTGGAGCACAGGCTCTAGGTATGTGGGCCTCAGTAGTTTTGGCTCACAGGCTCTAGAGCGCAGGCTCAGTAGCTGTGGCACACAGGCTTAGTTGCTCCGCAGCATGTGGGATCTTCCCAGACCAGGGCTCGAACCTGAGTCCCCTGCATTGGCAGGCAGATTTTTAACCACTGCGCCACCAGGGAAGTCCCTGCATTGGCTGATATTTGAATAGTGAACCAGCCTTGCATTTGTGGGATAAGACAAATTGGCCATAGTGCCTTATTTATTTTATATATAGTTATATTTGATTTCCAGTAGTTTATTGAGGATTTTTGCACCTATTTTTCTAAGAGATGTTGGCAGGTAGTTTTCTTTTCTTATACTGGCTTTGTCTACTTTTGATATCAGAGTAATTCTGGTCTCATAAAATGCATTGGGCAGTGTTCTCTTGTATATTTTGAAAGAAGTTGTATAGAATTGGTGTTATTTATCTTTTAAATGTATGGTAGAATTCACCAGTGGAAACATCTGGGGCTGGAGTTTTCTTTGTGGAAAGGTTTTAAACTACATATTCAGTCTTTGTGATAGCTATAAACTGTCCTGGTTATTTATTTCTTCTTGCTTACTTTTGGTAGTTTGTGGCTTTGAGGGAACTGGTCCATTTTATCTAGGTTGTCAGATTTGTGTGCACAGAGTTATTTGTAGTATTTTCTTATCCTTTCTGTGGGATGTGTAGTGGTATTCTCTCTTTCATTTCTGATGTTGATAATTTGTGTCTTTTTCTGTCTTTGCTAGCTTAGCGAGTGGTTTTTCAATTTTTAAAACTTTTTCAAACCTCTTCCTGAGCAGTTCTCAAAGCCTTTGGAATGTGGTTTAGGGTCAGATCCACACATGTGCAGCTCAGAATTGAGCTCAGAGGTTGATACACAACTTAGTGGTTTCACTCTTAAGTCTCCTCCTCTTCATCATCTTCCCGACACTTTCTGGCTCTCTGGGGTCCCTTCCTTCTCCTCTGTCTAGAAAGCTGGAGCTTTAGTTTCTCTGCTCTGCCATGCACTTCCCACAATTGCATGTGTCTCTGGGGCCAAGCAGGGAGAGGAAAAAGAGAGACAAAAACATTGGGGATTTTGCCTGACTCTTGGGACCAGAGTTCCTCTGGTCAGAGAGAAGGGTTCCCCTCCCCGAGAATTTCAGATGCCTGCCTAGTCGCTGCTGCTGCTGTGCGGTTTCTTGGAGGCTGAAGTGAGAAAGAATGGAGAAACGCAACAAAGAAAATTCCAGGGATTTTCCTCCATGCTCTGGGACCTGTTGGAGCCTCTTTTCCCACTCCTTAGACTAGAAATAGAGCCTCCTCTTGGAGGCTGTGTCTGTTCTGTCCACACGTGGTGCACGGTTCTTACTCCTTGTAAGCCCATTCCGGGAGATACTGGAGGGGGAAGCCCCAGGAAACACGTTACCAGTTGCATGGTGCTTTGGGTTTGGTTTCCTGCTGTGCTACCGTTTACTTTTCAGAGTCCTCAGAGAGCTGCTCATGCGTTCTATCTGGGGTTTCAGTTTAATTCAGTGGGTAGGACAGAGTAGAGTGTGCTTACACCATCTTGAAGGGATCCAGACACGGTCCTTTGTGTGTTTGTTTGATATAAAATGAGAGCTTCTCCACCTCCCACATATCTGGAGAGAGGGTAGCGGCCCAGGGAACTACCTTCCGTGAAGCATCTGCTCCGTGCCGGACACTGTGCCTTAGTGCACAGCGGCATTGTTCTGTGACTCTACGCGGAAAGTGTGGCATTGTTAGCTCCATTGTGCAGTTGGGGGAAGTTAGGCTCAGATTAATCAGTTCAAGGTCATATAATTAAGTGGTAGGCTGTGGTTATGTATCGTGGCCTGTGTTAGAAAGATCCAGAAAGTTCTGTGGAAAGCAGAAGAGAAGGCTTACGTCTGATGTCCCGCTTCCCTCTCTCTGCAGGACAGATGAAGGTGATGCTGTGATCATGCACCCGGGGATCCTGTGCGTCATGGTGAGGCTGCTGCCTCAGTTGTACCATGAAGATCACCCTCAGGTACTTGCTGTGAACACATGAGTTTGTCTTTTTCATGACTGATCACTTAAGCTTCTCTGGCCAGAGACTCCCTTTCCCTTTTGCCTTTGCCTCCAGTCCCCTGTATGAACAGAGCCTCCTTTATGAAGTACCTCCTGCAGGGGAGTATCAGTGGATCTGAGACCCTTGATTGAGTTCCGCCCACCCTTCCATGGCCACTCAAAAGAGATTGTTCCTGTTGGTGATGTGACCTTCTAAAAACAACAGCCAAACAAAAACTGAATGAAATGATTTACCTTCATGAGGCAAGTCCCATATAAGTGCTACATATAGCGCTGGGCATTGGTGGGACCAGAAGTCCTCTGCTCCCCATTAATTTATCCATTGCTTGGATATTGGCTGTGACCCTGGCTCGGCGCTCTACATAGGACATGCAGGGCTAACAGGATGAGAACTGAGCACTGTCCAAGGAGCCCACATCTGTGATGGGGACCGGGAGGTGGTGGTGGGGCAGACAGACTAAGTAAATAAGCTCACAAATGAATCTACAATTACAAATTGTCACATGTGATATTAAGGGGAAAAAATGGGTGCTGACAGAGAATAATGGGAATGGAAGTGGAGGGGGAAGACCTAATTAAATCTAATTTAGATGACGGTGTGGATGTCAGGGAAGCCATCTCTTTGATGGTGACATTTAAGCAGAGCCCTGAAAGATGAGTAGCAATTAAGCAGGTGGGAAGGAGCCTGCTGCAGGTGTCTGGGGTGGGAGCAAAGCGGGAGAGCTGGAAGTGTGCCCGATGGGGCAGGCGGAGGAAGGCTGCCGCCCTGACAAGCTGTGGGGTTTTATCCCAAGGGCAACACGAAGTCTCTCTCAAGTGAATGGAGGGGGACACGATCAGGTTTTTGTATTAAAAATCTCTCTTGTTGCATGGAGGGTGGCCTGGGAATGGGGCTGTGTGGAAGGGAATGGGGACAGCAGTTAGGAAGCCATGTCCACAGTCTGGTAGCACATGGTGGTAGCTTGATTATGGTGGCGTCTGTGGGAGAGTGTGTAGAGCAAGGAGTCAGGAGACCTATTGGGAGATAGAATCAAGGCCCTGGGATGAACGGGGTGCAGGAAGCGGGAAGAGGGGGGAGTCAAGGTGGCTCTTAGCTCCTGTCCTGGCAGCACTGACGGCCCTACTGCAGCGAGGTGCGCGTGTACCGGTGAAAGCAACAGAACGAGGCAGATTCTCAGGAAGTGCTCTCAATTTAGAGAATATGTTCTCTAGAGGTTCTGAGAAAGAAACTCAAAGTTGAGGAAGCCCTGGAAAATACGCTCTTGAATTAGTAGCAGACGAAAGGAAATTACTTGAACCGAGCAGCTGCCATGTACCAGGCACGGTGCCACACCCTTTCACTGATTATTTACCCTCATAGATGTTTGGTGGGGAGTATCATTGTTTCCATTTTAGCCAGTGGGGAAACCGAGTCTTAGACAATGTACATGCCTTTTAAGGATTCTGAGTTGGTGGACCTGGTATTAAATGTGGTCCTACCTGGTGGCAGTTCTTATGGTCTTTCCTCTGCACAGCAGTGGCGTCTATAGGAGAATGGGGGCTCACGGGGGTGCGGGTTCAGCTTTGTTTTGTCCTGGAGTTAAAAAGGAGGTGATATGTTTTAAGAAGAAATGGTGGCTACAGTTGACCCTTGAACAACATGGGGGTTAAGGGTGCTGACCCTCACACAGTGTACTACTATCTCTGCCTCAAAAACAAAGGAGTTGCTAAATGACTCACCCAAGGACAGGAAGGTGGAAAAGTTTGGGTAGAATCAGGACTCAGATGCTAGTTTTGATTCCACATATTGTGATCTCTCATTGAACATAAACTTCTCCCTACACTCAGGTAAAGATCTGTGAAATGAAAATACAGGTCTTATATTTATTTTAAAAAATCCATGCATAAGTGGACCTGTGCAGTTTAAACCTGTGTTGTTCAAGGGTCAACTATAGGGGTGTTATTAATCATTGAAAATGACAATGGGTTAGTAAAAATATTGCAAATCCTCCGAAATTGGTGAGAAGTGGAGTGGAGGAGCAAAAGCCTTGATGTGTAGGGAAGGGACTGTTTTACTTAGGAAATCCTGTAAACTAGGTACAGGAGTTAAAAAAGGACTAGCTCAATTCCATGTCTACATGTCTCTTTGTAACTGGAATCCTTTATCTGGTTCCTGATCCTCTGCTGGAAAGTGACGATAAAGTGATTATCAAGCCAATGAGTAGGGATGCATCTAATAGTGAAATGGATGCACTTTATATCTTTCAACGTTTATGGGACAGCAGTAGCCTGGGCTAGAATGGGTTTGATTGCTCCTTTAGTTATCTATCGCTGTATTACAGAGGGCTGCCAAGTTAGCAATAATGGTCTCGTTCTTCCTCGTGGCTCTGTGGGTCAGGAGTTTAGACAGCACCGCAGGGACAGCTTCTGTCTGCTCCACATGGTATCAGCTGGGCACCCAGATGGGTTCTCCACTCACAGAGCTGGCACTTCACAAGCTGGCTCAAATGGTGAGAGGCTTCTAGGCTGGCCCAGCTGGGTCAGATGTCTGGGGCCTTGGTAGGGCCTGGCTTCTCCTCCATGTAGCCCTCACCATCTGGCTTCTACCTGTACACCTCCACCTGGATTCTCTAGCAGGCCACATAGCAGCTCAGGGTTCCCAAAAGCACAAAAACAGAAGATGCCGAGCCTTCTGGAGGCTTTTGCCTGGAACAAGCCAGTATTACTTCCATGGCATTCTGTTGGTCAGAGTGAGTCACAGGTTCAGCTTAGACTCAGCGAGAAGGGACCTATGTCTCCTTTACTGACGTGAGGGGTGGCTTGCGTGTACAGGAGAGGGGGAATTGTTGGGGGCCATCTTTAAAGACCAGCCACCACACTTGCCTTAGGCATCTAACTGATGGATAAAATTATTTGACCCCTAAATCAAATGTCTTTGAGTCATTTGGTTATCTAAAGCCTGGGACCTTACTTTCTTTACCTTAGTATTCACGACAGGTTCTGCCTGGAGCATGCTGGAAACTAATACACATTGAGTGTTACTTCTATTCCAGGAACATTAATCAGTGTTCATAACAGCTCATTAAAATGAGAATCTCCCCCATTTTGCAGGTGCTTGAAGCTCAAGAGAGTTGTGTAACTTCCTAAAATCATGGAGGTGTTGAGGGGAGATCTAAAACTCACTTCTAGGCTCAAGGTCAAGACGTGTTTGATGAATAGATCTCTCATCTCTGCAGCTCTTGCAGAATGCAGGGTCATGCATCTGGGCTTCCTTAGCTGTATTTCATACCCTGCAATGCACTTGCAATGAAAACAGCCAAGCCAGTGGTTTGGGTGGTCTTAGCAGTCAAACGGTTGCTGATAAACACGTTGTGCAAAACTCCACCATGAGGATGACTGACGAAGTGATGCAGAGCAGACAGTGGCCTGTCCTTCCGCTTCCTAGTGCGTGAAGACTCTGTGGAGAAGCCCCAGTTTCAGATAAACACCATGAGTTGTCACATCAGTGTGTGGGGAGGAACTTTCCCTCCTCCTGTGATGGTAATTGGACAAATTAAGTATGCAGATGAGGCTTCCACTTGGTAGGATACTTTTTCTCTATTCAGGTCACAATAAGTAATTTAGGAAAAGTCTGACTCTCACACACTCTCTCTCAAATATGCAAATGAAATGCAGTGGTACATGTTCTCAGAAATTTTCTGCAGATGCCAGATCAGCAGCTATTAAAAGTTGGGTAATTACAGTAATTAACTTCTGAAAGAGGTGGGGGCGGTGGGAAACCTCATAACAACAAACAGAATAGTAGATCAAATGAGAAATGAGACACACACAAGAAAATGCTGAAATGAAACTGACAGAAGGACTGCAGGTTTTGGGGCAGAGAAAGCAGCTGGAAGTTTCAGTAGATGGCAGTATTCCTAAAAAGATGGAGGGGCTTCCCTGGTGGCGCAGTGGTTGAGAGTCCGCCTGCCGATGCAGGGGACACGGGTTTGTGCCCTGGTCCGGGAAGATCCCACATGGCCGCTGAGCCTGTGCGTCCGGAGCCTGTGTTCCGCAATGGGAGAGGCCACAGCAGTGAGAGGCCCCCGTCCCGCAAAAAAAAAAAAAAAAAAAAAAAAAAGATGGACTGTGAGTTCCCACTCATCTCCCTTTAGGTGGGCCTGGTGATTCCCAGCATCCCTATACTCTTACCCACTTTACATCCCTCAGATGCTCTTCCTGCCTTATGGATGAGAAATTGATAGCTTTCCAAGGTACAGATATCATTTTAGAAGCAACAACTTAACTACTTACATGGGTCGTCTGGTTTATTTCTAATTGTGGCCACATTAAATTTGTTCTGTTCATGACCAAGAGGGGGTTTTTCCCTCTGCAAAATGCTAGCAGTGCGAGCTGCTCTTGGAAACAAATAATCCAGCTGAGTTTTTTTCCTCTTGTATCATCGCCAGTATTAACATTGGACTCTAGGAATTATATTGTGAATGTTGCTGTGCTAAGCACAAGGCAAAAGTGGAGTCCAGCTCAGTTCTCTTGGAGCTGAGTTGGCCGCTGGAAGAAGTAGCTGAGAAGAAAGGCCTTTTCTCTTTCTTTCTGGCATGCTCAGCAGCCATGAGGGGCTTGCTGTAGGGACGTGGCTCTGGGCTAGAACTCTGACCAGTAGTGGAGAGCTCTCTTGTCCCAGCACCACTGCACTTCCGTTCATGTCTTAGCAGAGGGTTATTTGCTCTGTGCATGACAATGGGAACTCAGAGGGTGGGAAGTCAGACCCAGTTTCACAGAGGTGGGACTCAGCCTGTGTCGGGGCCACCAATGTGATGTATTTACTTTTATGAATAATTATGCAGCACCTCCTAGGTGCCACTGGGGATTCAGAGACCAATGCCACAGTAACACACAGTCTGAGTTTGAGGGTGGGTACTCAGACGAGTGGAGAAGATACTTAGATATTCTAACTGTAACAAAGGTTTGCCCACAGGGCCT